GCCCCTGGACCCACTCGGAAATGGCTGTTTGCCTCCTGCAAACTTGGCAATGCTCTGGCTGAATGAACCCAGACACTGGGCATTTCGGACCCAACCGCTCCACTTTTTCTGGCTACCCACCATCCCTGTTCCCTGGCCATCGGGACATTCTAGGGGTCATTACATCCATTCTCCTGTCATCGTAAATGACCCTGTGCCCTTAAACTCAATAGTCAGGGTCCCCCCTTCTCTCCTAAGAGGGAGATTCCACAGCCTGTCTTGATTACTCACCCCCCCACACACACACAATCAGTACATCTTTTCTGCTCTAGCTTAACTCCCACTAACTATAGTTTTAGCCCATTTTCCTTTCCCAATCAGAAGTGAAGCTGGAGAACAGCTGTTTGCCACTCTAAGAAGTGAGTCTCCTTCCCTCCCTTTCTTCAGGCTTGACTTCAACATCATCTGGGTCACTGCAGGTGTCTGTAGCTGTTCAAGACTCATTCCACAAACATTTATGGAGTTCCTACCATTAACCAGGAGTTTGTAGCCTTCATTTCATTGAACCCTAAAAAAAGATGAAACCTTGCGGTTCAGAGAGGTTAAGTAACCTAGGCATGACCACACAGCTGGTAAGTGATAGAGCCAGACAAGAATCTACGTGTTATTCCATGATCTCCCTCACTCTCACCTACCAGCTGCCTCTGGAGGTGTCCTCACCTCGGTGCCCAGGATCTGATAGCCTTGATATTTCTTCTGTACTGGGAAGATGCACAGATTTGACCCTGAAGGGGGAAAGGGTGTGGTCAGGACCACCAGGCTCTGTTGAGCCTGTTCCTTGTCACTTTCCAGGTTCCTGATGGGGAAACTGGGGTTTTCATGAGGGTCTCCGGCCCCAGTTCTGACCCCAAGATGAGCGGAGTTGTTGCGGAAGTGGAGCTGTTGCGGGTTCTCTGGCTGCGTGGAATCCCCGGGGTGCGGGGCGGGGCAGGGGACAAAGGCAGAGGGTCTGCCCCACGGTCCCAGGGACTTGTCCCTCTGCCAGTCCCGCGCTCGGAGCGCAGGGCGCCGGCTTCGGGCAAGGACGTGCGGACTCCCGGGCCGGCGCTCCAGTCCATTTTTTCTTGCGGATCCCTGGAAGGGGGGCCGGCTCGCGGGTGGGACTGCGAAGGGGGGGATTCCCTCCCTCGTGCTCGCAGAGGACTGGCCCCTCTCCGGGCTGGGAGCTCCGGCCGAGCGGAGGCGCGACGGAAAGCACCAGCTCAGGGCAGAGAGCCCGGAGCGACCGGCCAGAGTAGGGCATTCGATCGGGTACTGCAGAGAACCAGGGCCCCTCCGGGCCGCCCCGGAGGACCGATGCGCCGGGTGGGGCGCTGGCCCCGAGGGCGTGAGCCGTCCGCAGATTGAGCAACTTGGGAACGGGCGGGCGGAGCGCAGGCAAGCCGGGCGCCCAGGACAGTCCCGCAGCGGGAGGGTGAGCGGGCCGCGCCCTCGCCCCTCCCGGGCCTGCCCCCGCCGCGACTGGCAGCACGAAGGTGAGTCCCCTCGTAGCTGCCCCGTCCTCCTCCCCAGCGCCCCCTTCCCCGGGAGCTGGGGCGCGGCGGGCCCTCCCGTCGGGGCTGGTTCGAGCTGGGTGCGGGGGGAGACAGCGAAAGGAAGGGGAATGTGATCGCTCTCCGGTCGGTGATCGGGAGAGGGCACCTCCTGCACTCCTTCCTGCAAGTCTGCCGCCCTCGTCGGCCCTCAGTCCAGCAGGCAGCCCCTTCCCTCCAACTCCCCATCATCCCGCAGCCCCGGGTGATCGTCCTCACTTGCAGTCCTGAATTCTCCAAGTCCACCAGCCCTGTTTACACCCCGCCTCCAATACAGAAGTTCTTGATCCCGGGTCTCACTGGTTTGGGTTCCCCCAAGTCCCACGGTCTCTGGTAACCCCCACCCCAGTCCACAGCCTGGGCCTGGGTTGGACGTGGCAGGCGGCATGCGCTGCGGCCCCCGGTGCGCAGCGAAGTGGCGCGGCTTCCTGGCCCTCGGGGTCTGGCGCTCAGGAACCGAAGGTATCGCTTAGTTGGGGAGAGGTGGGAGCTGTGTTCACCCGGGACTCGCAGGAGGGCCGGGACGGACTTGGGGTGAGGGTGCTTGGGGGCGGGAGTTTTCTTGTGAAACTGGCCTCTCAGACGTGGACAGCTCTCTTGGCTCTTGAGGGCCAGCCGGGGGACCTCAGGTCCGCGTCTCCCTCGGCACCTGTTGGGGCCTCTGTGGGATGGTGGGGGAGGGAATAAGAATGTGCGCGCTTGCGGGGGTGATGGAGGGTGGAAGAAGCCATCCTCCGCTGCCCTTGCTTTTGCGGGCGGGGGTACGGCCCCCGCACCTGGCTTGGCTCCGACCGACAGGCTAATCCCGACAGGTCGGACAGGCACATACTTGGTCCCGCCCCCCGCCCGCAATTCTTCTGCCCCCGCCTGCCAGCCTGCTAGGCAGCCAAAACTCTGCAGCCCGCAGCCCGCCCGGGGAGGGCTAATGAGAAATGATCTGGATAGTTTACATTTTTGGGTCTGTATCGGACACCTGATGGAGTACCACTTTATTCTGAAGGTGTTGCAGGCAAGAAGGTGAAGGTGATTCCAGCCCCATCCCTGGGCTGAGTTTCTGCCCTCAGCTCCACCTCCAGCTGTGTTCCCCTCCCCAGCCTGTGTCCTCCCCTCTGAGGCCCATGTGGCCTCTCTCTTTGGTCTTCCGTCCCAGCTCTGCCTCTGCCCCCAGCCTGGTCCCCACTTTGCAGGTCCACCCCACAAGCTGGATTGTGTCTCACACTCCACCGCTCCCTGCGAGTTGCCCTGCCCTCCCCACACCCAATCCTGGGTAGCAAACCCAAGGGCTGGTCCCTAACTAGGTCTGTAACCCCTGACCCTTAATCACTCAGGGCCAGGTCTCTCTCCCTGTAAAATGGAAATAATTCTACCTTCCTTCTTCCATTGTGAGGAGTAAAGGAAGACCTGGCACATGGCAGGTGGAGGGAGGCATCTAAGAAGTGTGAATCCCTAACCCCCCACAGTGGTAGAGAGAAATACCCTTTCTTACCCCTACCAATACCTGAGGCACTACCAGCAGTCCCCATTCTATCTGTGTAGAGCGAGCCTCAAAACATAAACTGCCAGTGCCATATAACCCAAGGCCCAAAGGAAATCAGAGAACTCTAAGAGAAATGAGGCAGGCTGCTTAAAAGGGAGTTGTCAGCTCCTATCTCCTCTCTCAGCCCTAGTCCATGCTATCCGTGTCTGCAAGTGTGCGTGCCTGTGTGTGCACACATGGGGTCAGGGACTAGACGCAGGAACGTGGAGCCACTGAGGCAGGGACCTGTGGCCCTCTGGGGCTTGGTGCTGCAGGGTTCCTAGTCTAAGACCTGTCCAGCATTTCAAATCAGATTTAATATAAGATCCTGGATTTTCCACTCCTCTTTTGAAAAATCAGAAGGTCTGTCAACAATCAGTCAGAGCTGAACGGCATATGCTCCCTTTAGATGGGTCATTTACCCTCTAGTTTACCCCCTCCACATCCAGCTTCAATCGTACATGTCATTTGTACCCCCTGGTGTAGAGGAACTCTTAGCCCCTTTACAGGGTTGATTCTATATGTACCTTTTCAAAAAGTGCTTGCAACTCTTCCCATCCCAGAGGTGAGGGAGGCCAGTGTCACTTGCTTCAGTGAAATTTACATCTGGATCCTCCTTACGATTTCCCAGCTGAGATTGTGGTTTCCTGGTGATTCAGGTGGGAGTGGGCCAGAAGATCAACGCTGGCAAGGACTGGGTGAGTGTGGCAGGGGTCAAGCTGAAAACTAGGACCTGGGAGGATGGAGAAGGAATTCAGAGGGAGAGGAGAGGGAGGAAAAAGAAGGGAGCTAACATTTGCTGAGCACTCACACTCAATTGCCAGGCACCATGACAGGTGGGCACAAGGAATGCAGAGATACATAAGGGAAATTCTGTGCCCCCAAGAAACGCCAGGGATATTGATCACGCAGTGAGTCCAGAGTCTTTCAGATCCAGGGTTAACACCAAGTTTGTCTGATGCAGTGTTTGTCAACTGTAAGGATTCATGGAACAGATCTGCCAGGGATTCTCAGACCTTAGTTTGAGAAATGCTGCAATTAAAGGCAAATCCTATCACTTTGAGTGATCGCTTTGGTGTCAAGGCAATCAACCATAAAGATAAATGCCAATATGGAAATTGCATAACAGTGCCCAGTATTAAGGTTAGTATCCAGATGATACAGAGCATGTTCATATTGCCTTTTGAATGATCATTAGAATATAGACACAAAATGAAGCTTTGATCACAACAAATACAGCAAATATTATTGAGTCATCACTATGTGCCCAGCACCATTCTAAGCAGTTTTATGTATTAAGTTATAAACAACAATAACCTTCTTTCAGATAAGAAAACAGGCTCAGACCAGCTAAGCAAGGTAACACAGCTAGTAAGTAGCAGAGCCAATATTCAAAGCCAGGCAGTCTGACTCTGAAGTTTATGTCCGTGACTATCACGCTGTACAGCCAACCTCTGAGACTACATTCTTGGGCCTGAAGACCCCAGTTTGATAAACTCAACTGGACATCTATAATTTGTGGGTGATAGAAGTGTGTAGTGGGGGCTGGGGAGGATACAAATACTTTGGTAAATCAGGCAGGGAGTACTGGAGGGGCGTGCAGAGGTTGGCAGCTGACGGGCATTTGGGGATGGCTGGGGGCATCTCCGCTGGCTCCGGCCACAGCACCAGGTGGGATCCATCAGCCTCATGTAAACACTTCTCACAGGCAGCTTAACCACTTGAGTGTGTCTGGCCTTCAAAGCCAGCGGGAGAGGCCAAGGAGGGAGGTACTGAACTCCCTTAGGGGATAATGATTTATCTCCCGTGCAGGTGGGCCTTGCTGGGGCCTCCCTGAGAGGTGAGGGGGTGGACTAGCACTGAAGAGCCTAGAGGGGAAAGGATTAGGATGGGGGTGGGAGGGGCATCTCCACTCCAGCACCTCAGATTTCTCATTCCTGAGCCTGAACTCTCTGACTCTCAGCTAGCCTGTGACATAGTCATGCTTGTCCCCATTCTATAGACGTGAAACTGAGGTTCAGCGAGGCTGCATGACTTGTTCAAAGGCATCTAGCCAGTGGAGGGGAAGGTGATGCCTCCCTGGCATCTACAGAGCCTCTGTGCTATTGACCTGCATGCTCTGTTGTGCTGTGGGTGTGTGTGGGAGAGTGTGGGGTGTGCGTGGGCAGGTCGCTGCTATGAAAGAACCTTGGGATCATTGGAGCATGAATGTGTGATCCCGTGAGGGGGCAGCAGGGTTTTCATTCTCACTCCCAGGTTGGGCTCATATGTCCAACTTCCCAGACACATCTGATTCAGGGGAGGGACCGGCTCCCCTGCCCCCATCACCCCAGCCGGCCAGCAGGTCCAGAGACCTGGCTCTCGCTGGGCTGGGGGATTATCCCCATTCTCTGTGTCTCTGGCCAGGGCGGGCATTGCTGCCTCTTTTATCCTCTCACAAAGGCCAGGCCCGCCGGGCCTGCTGTGTCAGAGTTTCTGTGGCCGGGGGAAGCCTTACTTCCTTTTCTCCCGCCAAGCCCAGAGGGCCACGCAGAGTCTGCCAGCTTGCCGGGGGCCACTGCTCTAGCTCCAGGACAGGTGAAAGGCACATGGGTGACTCAGCCCCAGGAACAAAAGGCTGAGGGGTCACTCATGGAAGGACAGAGAGAGAGAGAGCTCCTCTTCAAGAGAGAGGATATTACTGCAGCATGAGGTCTGTAGGGTAGACTTAAGGAAGGACTTCCAGTTAGAACTGGACAACAGGAAGCAGGGGTGGGACCAACTGGCTCCCGTTATTGAGAAATCATCAGTGATCCACAAGTTTGGTTTGAATGTCCGCCATATTCTGGCTACACAGGTTGCCGGCTCCAGTCCCAGGTTAGGGAGTTCTGCAAGATAGGAAAAGGAGCGGAGTTCTTCTAGAAAGGTGCTAGGTAGGTAACTCATAACGTCCAAACATTTTGAGCTCCCAGTCTTCTGGGTAGGGCAGGAGGCATAGGTGGGAGGGTTCATAGTACTACAGAATTAACCCTTCTTTCTCCTCCCCTCACAGGTTGGTTTTTGGAGTAGTCCCTGCTGATGTGACAAAAAGATCTCTCATGTGATATTCTGAGGTACCTTTGAGGAAGTCTCTCTTTGAGGACCTCCCTTTGAGCTGATGGAGAACTGGGCTCCCCACACCCTCTCTGTCCCCAGCTGAGATTATGGTGGATTTGGGCTACGGCCCAGGCCTGGGCCTCCTGCTGCTGACCCAGCCCCGGAGGTGTTAGCAAAAGCCGTGTGCTGTCCACCCTCCCTGAGACCACCCCTCCGACCAGGGGCCTGGAGCTGGCGTGTGACTATGCGGCTTGGGCTGTGCGTGGTGGCCCTGGTTCTGAGCTGGACGCACCTCACCATCGGCAGCCGGGGGATCAAGGGGAAAAGGCAGAGGCGGAGTGAGTAATGGAGCGTGGTGGGCCACAGCTGGCCTTGGAAGTGGGAGGGGGCCACCGGGGAACTAGGGGTCTTCAGGAGTTTTATTCCATGATGACCCTTGCAGGTTTCCACTCTGTCTATTACAGCTTTGTAGATTACTCAGTAGATGATCCTGTTTGTGGATTATTCAGTTGGTGGATTAATTCGCTGAGATTACCCACTCTGTAGATGACTCACTTTGTCTGTTTTCCCTTTTGTAGACTCCGCTTTCTAGATTAACCCCTCTCTTGTGAGGATCCAGTTTGTGGATTACACCTTTGTGGATTATGTGCTTTGACAGAACACCAGCTTTGTGTGGTATCCATGGAGATGCTTCCCCAAACCCCCTGCCCTGGGGCTCCTTTTTTGGCTAAAGTGCAGCCATCAACCCTTCTGGGTTAGGAGCTCTGCACAGCTTAGCACTGGGTAACAGGGCTTCCCCTGCCCAGATCATGGGGCAGGAACAGTGGAGGAGGGAGGATCAGGAGACTGTCCACTGCTGTGACTTTTAAACCACGCCCAGTGGGATTCAGGGAGCTACAGTGGCATCGAAGGGGAGACAAGCAGGCAGGGGTCTGGCCTGACCACCCTTCAAACCAGAGCAGTCTCACTTTTCCCTGCTTTTGGTAATGAGCATCCACATGAGATGTCGTTTGAAGAGAGGGTTCTCATAGCTTAAAAAGAAAACCAAAATCCTATCATTGTACAGATGCTAAGAAAGGGGAAGAAACAGGTCTAACGAGATACAGTTGATGTTGGAACCCAGGTCTCCTAATGCCTGTGGGCCCAGTCTTCTTGAAAGCCGAATTTGATGGAGTTCAAGGGTAATCTGTCCCCAGCCCCTTGATAGGCACTCCTCAACCTCTGCTTAAGGTCTCCAGTGATGGGACCCTAGAGCTGTAGGGGTGGCCACTGTGTGTGAGGGGCCCACACGAGGGAGAGGGTGGGGGACTCCAGAGTCCCAAGTCCTCATCTGTCTTTTGACATCTGCCATGAGAAGATGCCATGCCCACAGGTAGGAGGTCTTCCTGAAGTCTAGCCCAGCCCCTCTTGCTTCATGTTTCCCTGCAGACGGAGGCCCCCCAGTAAAGGTTGAAAAGCAGTGGGGTTTTGCCGGGGCTTCACGGGAGCAGCCAAGGCCAGGACTCAGCCCAGGGAGAGAAGCTCAGAGAACTGGTGAAGCTGAAAATCCCTGGCTTAACAAACAATTAGAGACAGTTAGGTTTAATCAGCAGCAAGGCCTTGATTTTCCTCCCTTCTCATCTGTTGTGGCCAGTATTTTGGACTCCATGGGCCAGATGCGGTTTAGCGGTTTATAATCAGTCTCCTCTATTTCCGAAATGAGAGACAGAGAGAGAGACAGAGAGAGAGAGAATGGAAGGAACCATTCACATTCAGGCAACGTGCACGTGTGCTTAACGCTGACCCTCACACATGCAAAGCCTCATGCCCGGCTAAACCAGAGGTCACGGGACCTGAGTTCAAGTCTGTTGTATTGAAAAGGAAAGGAAGTACTAGACTTGGCATCAGAAAGGGCCTGGTCCTAGCGATGGTAAATCTCCTGCAGCAATTTTGACGTGCTTGCTCACTTTTCATACGGCCACAGCTAACAGCCATGGCAGCACATGAGCCAGTTTTTATTACCAAGTGATGTAACAGACATCCTTGATGGTAAGAGGCAAGGGTTGGGAGAGGTGTGGAGACAGGCTCAGGGGTGCAGGGAAGGATGAAGGTTGTGCTGTTTGTCAATACTTGTCACATAACAGCCATAGTCATCGCAATCAGGAAGCTGAAATGTAATGTAAAGGAGGATAGTAAGGCTTACATGAGATTTTATATATATATATATAGAGAGAGAGAGAGAGAGTTTTGTTTTATTTTGTTTTGTTTTGTTTTGAGATGGAGTCTCGCCCTGTCACCCAGGCTGGAGTGCAGTGGCACGATCTTGGCTTACTGCAACCCCCACATCCCAGGTTCAAGCGATTCTCCTGCCTCAGCCTCCCAAGTAGCTGGGATTACAGGCACGTGTCACCATGCCTGGCTACTTTTTGTATTTTTAGTAGAGATAAAGTTTTGTCACGTTGGCCAGGCTGGTCTCGAACTCCTGACCTTAGGTGATCCACCCACCTCAATAGGTATATATTTTTAACACCTTTGTAAAACATCAAGTTCTGCGTAGACTCTGGGTGCAAATCATTATTATATAAACAATGTGTAGACCATTTTGCCTTAGGGATTCTGGGGAAGTAGAGAAGGGAAGAAAGAAGACCAAGACACCTGTGTGTGCCTGGCCTCTTGACAAGACAAGCTTGGAAGGGCACTGGGTGGACCTGGGGATGGGGGTAGGTGTGCTGTGTACGAGCCTCAGGGCTGTTGACTCTGGCTGACAGTCCTCAGCTTCAGGGTAGGAGGCCCACCAGAAGCCACTCAATCTAAATCTCATTCTGAGCTATTATACACCAGTCTTGAAGTCAGACATGTCTGATCTCAGAGTCTGAGTGATGGTCTGCCTGCATGGAGCGAGAAAAGTTGAGCAAAGAACTTCTCTTTAGCTGTGAGTGGTGAAGTCCCCTTGAAGTTCCCCTCCTCCATTCATTGAGGACCCTGCCCCTCCCTGAACTCCTGTTCACTAAGCGCCTTGTCTTCTTGCTAGCCCTCACCCCTGATCTGGGGTCCCTGCACCTTCCTGAGCCCTCATTCCCACTCATCCCTTGCACTGAGTGTGCTCCTTCCTGAGCCCCTTCTCCTCTCTGATTCTTGGGCCCCGTGTCTCAGTCCTGCCTCCTAGGAAGCCTCTATTCCTTCATTGAGCCCTGACTTCTCCAGAAGCCAGGAGCCCGCTTTGTGCCTCTTCTCACGGCCCCATCCTCCATCCAGAGCCTCTGCCCCTGCTTCACTGACAGCCTTACAGTCCCTCATCCCTCACTGAATCCCCGTTCCTTCCTTGGCTCATTCCACAAATGTTTATTTAGATCCTGCAAGCTGGCCCTGATCGCAGAGATGAATCTCACGGGCAGAGGCTGCAAGCGAGTGGGGGAAGACAGAATGTCAATCCAGTTCAGGAATGCTGCATGGGAGAAAACCTGAGGGCATGGAGAGCCCCGGGGAGTTGGGAGGAGGCACAGAGTGTTCCTTTAGGAAGTGGGGTGCAGCTAGGAGTAGCTGGGGAAATGAATTATCAAGGGGGTTCTGGGGAGCCCTAGGATTTCCACTGGAGAAGCTGTACTCATATGTTTTCTGTTGGAAAGAAGTGTTCTGCTGCTAAACAAGCCATCCAGAACCCACTAGGACAGAACAAGGAAGCTGTCTGAGGCTGAGGGGAGGGTCCAGGTACAAGACAATGCAGGGTAGAGGTCAGGTCATTAAGCTCTTCGCACCTGCCAGGCTGAGGAGTTTGGACTTGGCCTGACTCCAGCTACAGTGGGTAAGGAGCCACTGAGGGTTTCATCAGGGAGCCCAGAGCCTAGCTGCTGGGTGGGGGAGGTGGCTTGAGGTGGGAGGCAAACAGCCCAGGTAAGAAAAAGTGAGGATCTAAACTAAGCTCGCAGTCGAGAGCTTAGTTTAGAATCCTGGGTCTGGCTGGGCATGGTGGCTCACGCCTGTAATCCCAGCACTTTGGGAGGCTGAGGCGGGTGGATCACCTGAGATCAGGAGTTCGAGACCAGCCTGCTTAACATGGTGAAAGCTTGTCTGTACTAAAAATACAAAAATTAGCCAGGAACAGTGGTGTGCACCTGTAGTCCTGGCTACTCGGGAGGCTGAGGCAGGAGAATGGCTTGAACCTGGGAGGCGGAGTTTGCAGTGCACTGAGATTGTACCATTGCACTCCAGCCTGGGTGCTAGAGCGAGATGGTTTCAAAAAAAGAAGAATCCTAGGTCCTACCAGCAGGACATACCCAGGACTTTCTGAATGTGCAGGTCTCAGAAAGCCACAGGGATAGATCCACCTCCTGGGACAGCATGTGGCCTGAGAGGGGCCCTGGCCTACTCACTTCCTCAGTCTCCTGGCTGAGGCCCTGCTCCCTATCCTCCTACCCTCGCCAACTGAACTCAGGCCTCTCTTACCAAACCCAGTTCCTCCAAGACTAGATTCCACCCCAAAACCAAGATCATCACTCTCTGGGTCATGGTGAGTTCTCTCCATCCACCACTGTCCCTGACCCATCCCACCTGAGTCCCTCATCCATGTTCCATCCTGGTCCCTCCACTGTAGTGAATCTTCATTAAGATCCATCCATACACCACCCCTCATCTCAAGCCTCTGTCTCACTCACCATATCTTCAACCTTATACCCTTGTGGAGCCTTATCCTTTACTGAGCTCCCATTCAGAAATGACGGGCTCTGCCTGCCGAAGCTCTTTTAGTGAGAGAAAAAGACACGTTGGCAGATAATATCAATACAAGGTGACGTTCGCCATGACAGATTCAAGTACTAGGGGTGTGGGAACACAGAGAAATACTCCATTGAGACTCTGCAGGGAGGTGAGATCAGGAAGACTTCCTGAAGGAGGTGACTTTAGTTCTGAGGCTTGAGGGAGTTGGTCAGACTCAAAAGGAGGTGGAGAGTGTTCTGGGCAGAAGGACCAACTTGAACAAAGGCACACAGGTGTGAGATAGTGTGACGTGTCCAGAGAAACAAAAATGGTTTGATATTGCTTAGGAGTGGTGCTGAGGGGTAAGGTGGATGGGATGAGCCCACAAAAGCTTTTAAGGTCAGGCAAGGAGCTGGGTCTTAATTCTGTAGGTGATAGGGAGCTCTTGATAGATAAGACGAAGGAGTGTAAAACAATCAGATTTTTAGTTTAAGAAAGATTCCTGGGGATGAAGAAATTGGGAACTGGAAGAAATGAAGCCCCTAGGGAGGAGGGGCAGCGATCCAGAACCATTCTTCAAGGGGTGTGGGGTTGAGCTGCCCTGGAGCATTGCCTCATCATAGCCACAGCAACTTAAAAGAGCTTTGCATAGGATGAAGGAGGCTAG